ATTTAATTTTTTTTGAACAAACTGCCTTCACTATATTTTGAGGTCTTTTATAGATCTATAATTTTTATAGTTTCCGGGATACTAAAGGTAGTCTGGTGGATTTTTATAATGTGGTAATTCAGTTTCTTCCTTTAAGTAAAGTATGTTACATCTGACAAAACTGACTTCGGTTTGTTGGCTAAGAGGAAACTTTTTTTTTTTTTTTTTGGTGAGGAAGATCAGCCCTGAGCTAACATTCATGCTAATCCTCCTCTTTTTACTGAGGAATACTGGCTCTGAGCTAATATCTATTGCCAATCCTCCTCCTTTTTTTTCCCCCAAAGCCCCAGTAGATAGTTGTATGTCGTAGTTGGACATCCTTCTAGTTGCTGTATGTGGGACGCAGCCTCAGCACGGCCGGAGAAGCGGTGCATCGACGCACGCCCGGGATCCCAACCTGGGCCGCCGGTGGCGGAGCACGCGCACTTAACCGCTAAGCCACGGGCCGGCCCCTAAGAGGAAACTTTTTATCTTCATTCTACAGCTGGATAGTAACAGCTAATAATACTAGCTAACATTTTTGAATGTTCCTGTTCAGTCAGACAAGGGCTGATCTCAGCATAACCCTGTGAGAGAGGTGCTTTGTATCTCCATGGAACAGATGAGAAAACTAAGAGGTGAAGCAGCTTGTCCAGAGTTGTAGGTAGAAAAAGTGGCAGAGCAGGGATTCCCAGGCTCCGGAGACTCGAGTGGCCTCACCTGCAATGATAGATGCCATGTCATGTGTTAAGGAATGTGGTCCAGGCAGCCTCTATAGACTGAAAATTCTTGCTATAAATTTATGTTTTCTTTTTTGGTTTAAAATTCTTGGAAAAACTTTTTTTGTTTTAGTTCATTAAGAGAGGTCTTAGATGAGTTTATATTTATTATATGGATATATAAATTGTTAATTAAAAATTTTACTTTCCAGTCGGATGTTTTGTGTTATTGAGGTTGAGGTAACTAGTATGTACAGTATGAACTTCTTCTAATGCTCATGAAAATGTCCAGAGAAACACTTGAAACATTTAAAGAGAATTTTTCATTTTATTAGAGTGCCATGTTCTCTCTCTCTCTTTCTCACACACACCCACGTGCGCGCCACACATACACACAATCATTATGTGTTAAGACACAAATCTCTTTTATCCAGGAAAATTAAAAAAAAAGGTTAACTAAGCATTTTTTATTTACTGAGTTACCTTTTATATTCTTCACAGTGGAGGATTATTTTTGAAGGCATATTGCATGGTAAAATACACTAATTTAGATTTTAAAAATCTGAATACAGACTGAAGACAACTTAATTCTTTTATTTAGAAACATTTAGTGTCTGATACAGACGAGACACTCTCTTACTGAGTAGTTGGAAATTGCTGCAGGTTTTGGGTATCTGTTGCATGTGGATGGTTCTGTAACTTTCTAGAAAGTTAAACTTTCTGAGACTCAATCTTCTTACTGGCAAAAGGGGAATAGTAAGGATTGTTAAATTTAAGGATTGTATGGATTTCATAGATAATGAGAAAAATTACCTAGCATAAAAACTGGTGTCTTTTTCTTCCTTTGTCCTTTAGAGGTAGTAGATACGGGAAATTGACCTAAATCTGATGGATTCTGACCTCTTTTGAATGTTGTTTTTTTAAAATATTATTTGTAGATCTGTTGCATGAGAAACACCTGTGGTTGCTACAGAATATAAATAAGCAAAAAATATTAAAATTAGCTATAATTCTACCACTTAGAAATAATTGCTGTTAATATACTTATTCCATATTTATTTATATAACACATACTTAGAATTATAGTAATTAGGATCATACTCTATGTATTGTTTCATAACTTGTTTATAGTTAATATATTAAGTATTCTATGCAAGTAATAAATCTACTCTCATGACGAGTTTAAATTTCATGTAGTTTTCTGTTTTACAGTTATATCATAATTTAACCAATTTCTTATTGTGGGGTGTTCAGGATGTTTGTGATTGTTGCTGTTATACATAATGCTGTCAAACAATTCTTCTATTTGTGTCTTCATGTTCTTGTCATGTTGTCTTAGTATAAATTCCTAGATCTGCACATAGTGCATGCATATTTAAGACTTCAGATGCATATCACAAATTGCCTTCTGGAATGATGGTATCATTTTATATTACCTTCAGTAGTATACAGAGCATGCCAGATTCCCATGTCCTCAAAATATAGACTATTATTTAAAAATCTTTGTTTAGTTTTTGTATTCTGTCTTTATAAATACAGTATAAATGGAGCCTGCTCTCATATTATTATTTAGATTTTGGTAAGTATATATGTACAAGAGTACATTAATATTTTGACATATGGAGAGGGGTGATGTGAAATCTACTATATACCATGAACTTGCCTTTTTTTTTTTTTTTAAAGATTTTATTTATTTATTTTTTCCCCCCCAAAGCCCCAGTAGATAGTTGTATGTCATAGCTGCACATCCTTCTAGTTGCTGTATGTGGGACG